ATCACTCATTGGATGCTGACCACCACTGTTTAAGTCGACTTGTTTAGCTGAAGGCTTCCGGTCAAGCATCCCCGCCATTTGGTACCCCGTCGTGTAACGTGCACGATCACTAGCTAGCTAAGCGTTCGTCTATCGGCTGGTTTTGGTTCCTAAATACATTTCTTCGTTTGGACGATCAATTGTTGGCTTTTGCTTTGTCTTTGGTACGCGAGAATAAATTAATTAGAAGTTGTTGAACGAGATATCACGTCAAACTTTTAATCTCCGCCCACCTTTAAACTGGTGAGCCTAACCGCGAACTTCATCTACGACAATTACTCAGATAATCCCGGTGAGTTCGTTCCATTTTGTATTTGTTTTTGTGCCATATATTATTCGATATAATTTTCGTCATGAGTGATCTTAGTCCCAAGGTCATCCGTATCCGCTCAACTCCTAAAACCATTCAGCTCGTACCATACTGGCCAGATAATGCTGAAACGTGGTTTCTGCTAGCTGAAGCAGATTTTTGTGAGCATGGGATAACTGATCAACGTTCACAGTTACTTGCAGTTATTCACGCCCTACCGCGGGAATTCAGCAAGTACGTAACATCCCAGATGTTGAGTCCCGAGGTAAGTAACTCGTACGAGTTGCTAAAAGCATCCCTCCTCAGGAGAAACGCTCTCACGGACAGACAACGTCTAGATGAATTATTTCGCAACATCGAGTTAGGAGATCAGTCAGCCGTGAGCATGCTGACAAGAATGAAACAAGTCGTCGGCCAATGTCAGTTCGACGAAGGACTGTTTAGAGAACTCTTCTTAACCAAGTTGCCACAATCTGTACAGACCGTACTTGTGACACTTGAGGGTACTGTAATAGGGAACTTAGCTATTACTGCAGATAAGATCCTAGAAATAACTAAACGGTCTGTCCCGAAATATGCTCAGTGACTAAGCAGACTTCGAGTGAGGATCCTGCAATGACAGAGTTATGCAACTCCCTTCAGCAGATGTTTAGGTCAAACACGCATTCTAAATCCTCCAACCGTCGTCCTAAATCTCCTCAACGCAGGAACTCGCGTGGTCGATCTAAGTCCAAACCACGTTCACTGAAAAACCCTGACTGGTGCTGGTACCACAACACCTATGGCCAAGAAGCGAAGTGTTGCCGTAAGCCTTGTAACTTCGGAAATGTCTCAAAGTCTGCGGGAAACTATCCCGCCGGCACGCGTTAGCGGCAACCGTCGCCGGTGGCACTAGCCGCCTACTTTACATCCATGATGTGATAAGCCAGACTCGATACTTAGTCGACACAGGCGCCGAAGTCAGCGTCCTTCCTGCTACAGCAGCAGATCGACAGAAGGAACCTACCTTCAACTTACAGGCTGCAAATGGAAAACCAATCGCAACCTTTGGTAGGAAATACGTCTATCTGAACGTAGGTTTACGCAAACCTATTCGGTGGATTTTCCTTCTCGCTGACGTTACAATGCCCATCATTGGCACGGACCTACTTAATCATCATGATTTACTCGTAGACGTCCGCCGAAAACGACTGATTGACAATACTACTAGTCTGTCTATCAAAGGCATCACCTACATAGGCCCTAGTTTGTCACCCGTTAAGATAAAGGCAATCCTTGATCCAACTTTTCAACCTATCGTTGACAAGTATCCGGAACTTAACTGCCCGTCGAACGACCTACCGTGCATAACCAGCAATGTTATGCACCACATCATTACCACAGGACAACCTGTGACATCTAAAGCACGACGATTAGCTCCTGACAAACTGAGAATCGCCAGGAATGAATTTGACCATATGCTTAGCCTTGGCATCATTCGACCTTCGAATAGCCCATGGGCATCCCCACTTCATATGGTTCCGAAAAAGGATAGCAACGATTGGCGACCCACCGGTGATTACCGGCGAGTGAATGCCAAAACAACCCCTGATTGCTACCCGTTGCCTCATATACACGACTTGACGGCAACCTTATCCGGCGCGACTATATTCTCTAAAATCGACTTGGTTAAAGCGTATAACCAAATCCCGATGGCAACAGAAGATATCCCGAAAACGGCTATCATTACGCCTTTCGGACTTTTTGAATTTCTACGTATGCCATTCGGTCTTCGGAATGCAGCCCAAACATTCCAACGCTTCATTGACGAAGTATTTCGCGGTCTCGACTTTGTATACGCATACTTAGACGACTGCCTCATTGCCAGTCCAGACAAGGAAACTCACCTTAGGCACTTGGACTTGGCATTTGACAGGTTACGCCAACATGGTGTTACCATCAATATTCAAAAGTGTCAAATCGGTGTTGACTCACTCGACTTCCTGGGTCACACTATTGACTGCAAGGGCATTCGCCCACTGGCTACTAAGGTTGAGCCTCCTAAGAAAAACCGTTCTGGACGCACCGTAAGGTTCCCAGAACATTTGCACACTTATTTGACTTAACGAAGTCGTGTGATTCACGCAACTCACTCGTTCGTGGTACTAACTATTTTTTTTGACGTATAAATTTTTTTATATACAGTACCACCGAACACAAAAATTTTTTTTTTAACAGTTCATGTAACATACACAAAAAAATTAATTATATGTATTTTTTTTCGATGTTCTGAACTTAGCATTATTTTACTGTATAGTAAATGCACATAATTTTTTTTAACCAAAAAGGTCATTTCGTACATTTTCCTCGACATGGTTCTTAGCGTTCTTGTTTTCTTTTCCAGGTGCGACGGGCACTGGACGGGAAACAAACGAAGCACGGAATCCAACGAACAACACCAGGAAGCTATGTACAAACACCCTATTAGCATAGGCAGACAAACCAGTAGGCATAAGACCAAGCCGCTCGGAAGATTTTTTTCACCCGAAAGGGAACCATCGAGTTTTTTTACTTCCGGCTGGTTCTGTCTTAGGGTCCTCACGACCCCACTAGGGGGGAGTGAGCTGTAGCGGTAAATAATTCCCCAAAATTATTGACCACAGCAATCACTCATTGGATGCTGACCACCACTGTTTAAGTCGACTTGTTTAGCTGAAGGCTTCCGGTCAAGCATCCCCGCCATTTGGTACCCCGTCGTGTAACGTGCACGATCACTAGCTAGCTAAGCGTTCGTCTATCGGCTGGTTTTGGTTCCTAAATACATTTCTTCGTTTGGACGATCAATTGTTGGCTTTTGCTTTGTCTTTGGTACGCGAGAATAAATTAATTAGAAGTTGTTGAACGAGATATCACGTCAAACCTTTAATATCCGTCAACCTCTAAAGTATTTTATTATCTCCTTGGGTATCAGGTAGTACATAGGGCTTCTATAGAAAAGCTTCATTATATCCCACTCTCTGGAGTCAAAGGAACACCCATGGGATCGCCAATATCAGGTTTGATTGCAGAAGCAGTGCATTGATGCAAAGACTCGAAAACATAACTCTACCAACGACCAAACCCAAGATTTGGATACGCTACGCTACGTCGACGACACATTTGTAATAATCAGAAGGAACGAGTTAGATAAAACTCACAACTTAATAAACAACGTCTTCAACGACATCAAATTCACAAGAGAAGATGAATCCGAGGACCAAATCCCATTTTTGGACGTCTTAGCCATGCGAACAGCCACAGGGGAATTAGAAACTCACGTTTATAGGAAATCAACTCACACAGACCAAATCCTGAATTACAACAGCAACAATCCAATAACACACAAAGGGAATTGCATACAAACACTATGCAAAAGGGCCAGCCAGGACTCATTTCAGCACTCCCACCTTAAGGAAAACTGAAGAAAAATATCTCATGGACATCTTTCAAAAGAATGGATATCCACGGAACTTCATCAGAAGTCATATACCCCCAAGCCAACCTATCAAACCAAAAGCCTCCAAAGAAAGCACAAAGAAAATCGCCTTACCATATATAAAGGATATCTCAAAAATCACTACAAGACTCTTCAAACCTTAAGGAATTGACGTCGTACACAAACCAGTTCTATGTCAACCAAAAGAATCAACAGCGAAGGAAGATTAAACCAATGTCATCCACAAAATAAATTGTAACAACTGCGAAAACCACTACATTGGCCAAAGTGAGTGACGTCCCCTTCGTCTTTGTATCCACGAACATAAGCTGGCCGTCAAAAGACATGATATCCACTCCCACGCTCATATCACTACACACAGACAACCAGGGACATCAATTCGACTGGGACAACCAGTGTTCAAATATTACACAGAGGAAACAACAAGAATGCTAGCCAGAGAATTCTTACAAGCCTGCGTGGTATTCCAGTGAATCATCATTCAATAGACACATCGAGATAGACAAAATTTATCAACCGATAAGAAAGAAACCACACACACACACACACAAAAAGGTCAAAGTTCAAGTCAAAGAAACAATCAGTTCCAATACAAGTAACTGTCTAGAAGGTGTGAAAACACACAAAAACAACCAATTACGTTCAAGGTCACCCACCAGGAGAGATGATTAATAAACTCGCGGAGAAATCTAAAAGCTCACTTCAACAGATTGAAGTATGCGCTGAGGTGAGGATGTTGCCTAGTAGGGCGATAAAAGCTTCTCAAATGAACCATCCAACTGAGACAACACAACCACATCAATATCATGACACATTTTTAGGAAAATGATGAATATCATCTCTCGAAATTTGTCTTCTTAACGCTTCATTCAAATATATCAAAGGGACTAATTGTTTTAATATTGAAATATAATTATTCTTTATTCGATCTAATCCACAATTCTCAAACATTTTACAAGCATCATGAAAAAACTTCTACATCTCGTTTTCCACCAATCATGAAGTAGACATGAATAAATCAATGAGACATTGAATGAATGAGTCAATGAGCGAATTAAAAAAATTGAAGAAATCATGCAGACAATAGACACACACGCACCCAGGCAGGCAGACAGACAAAATGGCAGAGAGAAAGCAGAGAGCATTGATATAAACTGCGTGAATGCATGCATATGCCTCCTTGAATTAAAACACACTAGTGAACATCCATGAACAAACAAAACATAGGCTGAAACAAAATAACAACAATTGAGAAATGCTTCATTCCAAAATCCTGTCTGGACCTCAATCACCACCTCACCAGCAGAAGAAAACAAAGCCAACATGTCTAGCCAACACTCGTGTGTGTGTGTGTGCGTCCTTGTGACGAAAATCACCTTTACATCATCCAATGACAACCCTTCCATATACATACACCTATGATAAGAGCAGTTAGACACTGTCTTCCTTTTATATCATATCATCATCATCATCATCATCATATATACAAAAACACGACACGTGGAAATATACCAGAGAAATACACTAACCGAGAATAACACCACGACTTGCTGACATACTGAAACAAATTACGGAATATCTCCAAAACCGCTGGATTATTATTATTATCAATATTATTATTACTACTATTATAGTCATTGATAATGGCCAATACATCTCCGACACAGAATGATGAAGCAATCAAAGAACAAGCGAAGCCAATCACACCGATGGGATACACAAAAGACGAGATGAGAGAATTCACACAACTACTAGTCAAATACAAGAATATGTTGACGGACAAAGAAAAAAGTCGGCCATCAATGCTGATGAAGAAACACATGTGGATGCAATTCTCAGAATATCAGAAAAGTTCATTAAGTCTACGTGCAACCTGTCAAGTCACAACACCAGCTATGCGGAAATATATTGACCTTCAGTTGAATGGTCATGATACTCGTCTGCAGCTAGATACCGCCTCTTATATTACTGTTATATCAGAGAAACTTTGGAATAATATTGGCAGACCACCAATCGGATATACTTCCCAGACTTTTCTCAGCGCCTGTGGTGGGCGGCTCAAACTTATTGGTGAACTCAAATGTTCTGTTTCCTTCCGCAAGACCAAATTCACAGGAATTTGCTACGTCACCAAGAGTGATTTAAATCTTTTGGGACTTGATTGGTTCGATCGTTTGCATCTGGCTGATGTCCCACTAAATTCTCTATGCAATGCAGTCAAGAAGCATAAAATGTTAGACAATTCCGGACGAAGCCAAAGCCGCAAACCCAACAGGCAGACGAAACGACAGACATCAACAAAAAGCTCAAAGGTTCCAGATAAACCCCCAGGTAAACATCCTACTAATCATCCATCTTTTCAAAAGGGGAGGTGATATTTATCCACATATATATATTTATGTGTGTGTGTATGTTGGTCTCTCTTTCTGTTTGCTCGCTTAGTCTGTGACCACTTCACTTGTATGAACCTGTCTCCTTTAATAATGTGTATTCTCCTTATATTATATTATATATAATATGAGTGTTTGTTGACAGTCCGTTGCTTGGTGACATATATCCATATATGTTGGTTGTTGACATGTCTGTTATATTTCGCTATGTATATATGGATCGATACTTCATTATAATTAGCCATTCATGTTAAGACTGTCTAATGATTTGTCTGGAACATTCATATATATTTCGCATTCACAATTTGTGTGAACTTCTTTACTTACTTACCACTTTGGTGTGAGACCATTTATTTTCGTCTCCTTGTGTTTGGACAATAGAAGTATCATCGCAAACCTAGTGGTCTTCTGATTTCCACCTTCTCGCGTCAGGACTATTAATTTCTCGACCAGACCATAACAATAATTTAGCGACGAGTACATAACAAAATGAAACAGGTAGAGGCATATATTGAGAAAAGAGATAATATCAATAATAATAAGTCCGGATAGTATAAATGAAAATTCGATAATGTTGATGGAATGTTTTCATGAAGGGCCTGAATTATGACGAATAATTATGATCTTCTGTTTAACACAGACCACTTTGTACTAGCCACTCACTCACCTGACACCTTTTATAACCTTGAACTGACTTACTTGCCAATCTTCATACCCCACACCCTACAAATTTGTTATGATTAATCACCACCATTGTCTCCCGTTTCACAATATTTTCTAATCGATTTCAGCCAACTGGTAGGCGTCTTGGTGTTGTTTTTGTAACCAGAAGAATATTGGGGGTGGGGGAAGATGCTTCGGTTGCAGGACCTCGGCGGTTTTGGACTTTTGAGAAGTGAATAACTGTGAAAGTTGTTTTTTCCAAAGTGAGTGAGTGAGTGAGTGAGCGGGTTAATGCCTCGAACACATCCTTGTATTTGACTAGTAGTTGTGTGAATTCTTCCACCTCGTCTTTTGTGTATGTCATCGATGTGATTGGCTTCGCTTGTTGTTTGATTGCTTCATCATTCTGTGTCGGAGATGTATTGGTCATTTGAAATAACAACAATAATAGTAGTAGTATGGTTGGAGCTGGCTGCTAGCCAAATCGGTAGATAGTAATTTACGTCAATGTTTACGTCCTCAATATTGGTCGTGAGAAAAATATGAAGAAAGAGTGATTCAACAACCAACCAGAGCAGATTTTGCGTAGGCGGATACAGTTAGCATATAGATGATCTGACATTCAAGGAATGGCCACAAAGAGATGAAAGTTTAAATTCAGTGAGAAACAACCAATCAGAAGACTGTGTTTTTCTGCTAACACTAATCTATAATAATGTACATGAAAATCTATAAACACCTGTTGATTTCCTTAATCAACGGTCTGTTGGCTGACCCTTGTCTTCTGTTGTTAGAGTAGTAATAATAATAATAATCGAGGGGTTTTGGAGATATTCCGTATTTTGGTTCAGTATGTCGTGATGTTATTCTCGGTCAGTGTACTTCTCTGATATATTTTTACGTGTCTTGTTTTTGTATAAACGATGATGATATGATATATTAAGAAGACAGTGTATGTATAGGGGAGGGTTGTCATTGGATGTAAAGGTGATTTTCGTCACAAGGACACACACACACACACGAGTGTTGGCTAGACATGTTGGCTTTGTTTTCTTCTGCTGGTGAGGTGGTGATTGAGGTCACAGACAGGATTTGGGAATGAAGCATTTCTCATTGGTTGTTGTTTGTTTCAGCCTACGTTCTGTTTTTCATTCACCACTCAAAGTTAATTTCAATGAGGCATTAAGAAGACAAATTTCACGAGATGATATCATGATTTCTCAGTTTCCTAACAACCGCTTTACAACTAACATGGTTCACAACAATAAAATAAAGATCATGACAATTACTCAGTAAATACTAATGACCAATCATATTTAAATAGGTCAAGTATTCAGTCCGTGGTAGGCGAAGATTGAAGTCTATTGATTTTGTACACACAGTTTAGGGTGTATGTGATTAATCGGCTAAAGTGCTTCCATCACCTTCAATAACCAACCTTGAAATAGGGTTATATGAAATAATTGTGAAACAGTCGTTAATATTTATTTTGTGACCTGACATTGATAAGTGTTTTGCAATGGATGATGCTGGATTTCTATTCAGATTAATTGCATAAATAATGACAACGATGTATATGAAAATGGATTAAACTGGTGGAGATTTTAGTGACTTCGAGTTGGAGAGTGTCAATAACAACTGACATCATGCAGATATGTTTGATCACTGTGAGTCACTCTCCGAAAGTCGACTGTCTGCGCCTTCAAGTTTCGTAGATTGAATCTTGCGTTAGAAGTTTCGTTGATGTGATTGACTTGGAAGAGCTAGAACACTGACTGATATGATATGTCTTCAGACGGAGCAGAGTTAACTACAGTCACATGAGACGACTGTGAAGCGAGCACAGGTGATTAAGAATGAGTCAGTGTGTTGACTGACCTGAGTGTATTTTGAGACAAATATCACTGAGAAATAAGAGATATGAGGAGGTCAGTGGTTGATTTCGAAGGACTTCACTGACATGTTCGTGTAGTGGAGGAATCATTTAAGCGGACGGAAACCTTCGTCTCTCCCTCCATATCACAGCTCTCATCATGTGTAGACTTCGATCATCACTTGTGGAATAATTGAGTGTGGAGAAATTTATTCTACTACTAGCTCTACTGATTCCTGAATACAACACGTGAATTGAAAACGCCTGTCGGGATAGTTGTGTGAGGTAGGATGTGGCTAGGAATGCAGGAAGTGAATGTTCTGCATCTTCCAGGAGTATAACCACTGAATGTGTGTATATGTGAGATTGAAGTTTGTAAGTGAGGTGGGAGAGGGGGCGATGGTTCGATGTGTTGGTTCGTGTGTGTGTGTGTGTACTAAGGATAGAGGACATTAGTGCCGAACCAGTTGTTCCGAGTGACGCCCCACACACAGGATCGATCACTAGTAGGCACTTGAAGGAGAATAATGAGAATTTGATGGATGTGGGAGTTGTCCGTTGACAACGATTTCGCGTTATGTCACCAACAGTCTCCACCCATTAATTCTTAGCGCCAGATTTGAACCACCACCACCACAACAACAACCAACTATCCTCCGAAAGACTCCGTTTCAATGCACTGGGTAACTTGGTAGGTGAGTTATCGGGCTGGCTTTGAATGGGATACGCATATATGGTGGCGTGAACATTCGGATGATGACACTTGTGTCTTCTATGCATTCTTCAAGTAGGTGTGAGTGTGTGTGTGTGTGTCTGTGATGATATTCCCGGAATCATTTGCCCTTCTGAGGTAATATAAGGAAGGACCGATCGTGTATACATTTAAATATATTTGTTGACATTGGTGTGTCCACTCAACTATGTCATTACTGGTGTCATCAATCGAATATTTTCTTCACATCACCCAACTCACACTGTCACCTGTCGTCAGTCGTCCACCACTTAACCTCTTCATATCTATTTATTTATTAATTAATTAATACATATCAATCAATATGAAAGGAAGTCATTTGTGAAGAGATTCGACGACGACGATGATGATGATGGTGGTGGTGAAGAAGAAGAAGAAGAAGAGGAGGAAGCCTTGGTTTATGGATGCTTGTTGTCAGGTGAAATTGGGAAGAATACACGCTAGAAGTATCAGTGAGTTGTCCACTACGAGTTTGTACTTGCCTACTAATCCTGGATGTGTTGTTCGTTGCAGTGGAGTGCAGTGCAATGCAGTTCAGTTCAGTGTTGCATTCATTCATATGTCATGTTGTCGTGCATGGTATTTTCGCTGCCTTTCGTCACACTCATTCCCTGTCCCTCTCTCTTTCTTTCTCTATCTCTCTGCCTGTATCTGTCGCTCACATTCTGTGGAGTTAGTTGTGAGTGACGGAGGCGTGTGAAGAAGGTGACTTTGTCGTCTTCCTTCTAAAGTTAAAGATAACACTGATTTCTGTCAGAATGAAACAGAACAGAAGAGAAGAGAAGAGAACAGAACAGAACAGAACTGTTTGCTCATTCATTGTGAGAAACCTACAACAACAGAAACGACGACACAACAAGAGACAAACCAATTGTTGTAATATCCGTTATTCACAACCACTCACTCACTCACTCACTCACTCACTCACTCACTCACTCACTCACTTACGCCCTTCCGCCTCATACACACACAGAGTGTAGAAAGAACGAGTGAAGGCAGAAACGAAAACAATGTGTGATGTGGTTAGCGTGAAAATACACGTGGCTGCTCTCCACCTTACTTTTCTGGTTCATCCATGCATTCATTCATTCACTCACTCATTGATGATTGATTGATTGATTCAATGATTCATCGCTGTGATGTCGACTCTGTATGAATTGGTCGTCATTCAGAAA